ATTGAGACCTTCACGATGTTTTTTGCCAGTTTAACTCCGGTTTTATCTTGTAGTTCAGGGTCCATAATCGGTATCAGCAATGTCTAGAAACCAGACTGATTACCATGGCATATTTCCTTCCTTCAAGGAATTTGCGAGGAAGCTCGCATATTACTGCAATCAAACTTACCACATTGTGTCCTGCTTCAGTTAATGTATCCGCTATAGAGCCCATGAAGTTCATATGCGAGTATCCAAAAGCCGGTGAATATACAAGAAATTTGTAACCATTACAGGTAATGAATTGCAGTAGTAATAGTGCAATAAACGTCATGTTCGTAGAGAATGTTCAGGGAAATCCTCTCGCTGCAAACAAATCTTGACTTCATAGCTTTGTACTGCGCCAAACGTTTGGTAATCCCAGGTTCAAAGACCTTGGGTCGTCAAAAGGAACAAACTACATGACATGATCTGTGACGCATCATATTAAGAGGCGGGTGAGATAAGGTTGTCAATTTTAATTCGTTAATAGCATTTGGACCTGTCAATCGGTTAGGCAGAAAATTCAGGTTTTATGGAAGAAGCGCATAAATATGTTAGGATAATTTAGTAGTGAAAGGAAATTTCTTTCCCACTGCCATTTCTTTAATTTGTTCTGGTAAACAAGTTACTTACCCAAGGGTTGCATGTTTTGAGAAATCTGTCAGTTCTAGCGCTGACTCTTCTCTTTCCCTAATATACTAAATGTTTGTATTTTTTGGAATAAATGACGAATAACCTGCTGTTATCTCACATTGCTTTTGAAAAGGCGAATAAACCCCAAGAAAAGTAATTAAGAATATGTAACGTGAAGTACAGTGATACCTACAACTCATGCTTTAGGTAAATTCGGAAGTGGAAATTCAAATTTGACGAGAAAGCCACTTCACACTGCTATATGTGCGAAGGTCCCACAAATCTTAAGGTGATTTTGAAAAAAACATAGTGCAAAGGGTGCATTCTACCTCTGATGACTTGGAAAAATCCTATGTGTGATATACTTTTTGAATTCTGAGGAAAATGATGCTATATTGACCGCTATGCTATGCCGCATGCGAAGAAGGTGACTGTTATCCTATTTTATCGATAGCTGTTTTACCAACTGATAATTTTTTATAAAAGAAGTTGAAAAGTCAAAAATTAAGGGTCTCTTCTGAATTGAAGGTCACAAAATAGAAAAGACGAAATAGAGTAAGACCTAAAAGACAAGAACTCATAGTGCAAAGGCCATTATTATTGATTTCATTGTTATATATGTTTAAAGTATCGCTTGCAGTCCTTATTTTTGAAACATCCTCATAAAAACGTTTTTGAAGGTATTGGAGAGTCAACTTCTCTGAAGGAAGTACATAGTCACAAGAACACTGCCTTCTGTCAAAATTTAAAAATTTAGATTTTGCGGAAGAGTACTTGAAGCGTACTGGAATAATTCAAAACTGTAAAAATGAGATTTTGTGGAAGAGGTAAACGTTGAATTCGTCGGGACTAAAAAACAGGTTTTGTGGAAAAAGTGCACAGGATACATATAATAGAACATCGTTGGCTAATGATGAAAAACACGCGTTTGTGAAGAAATTGCAACATATAAGAAATCCTAGAATATCAAAGACATTAATCTAATAAATCAGGCGCTTCATATCAGCGCTGTTAAAGCTGGAGCAATATTTTGAAGGAGTGACTTTTGGCATCCCCTTAACTCCCTAATATGTAATATTAGAGAATTATCAACTTGAGTATTTTCATTCCACTTCGAATACTAGTACTAGCAATTATAGCGGAAATTATTGTGATCCGAAAAGTGCCGACTTCCACATATGGGAATTG